GAGAAACCCCATCTCTACTAAGACTACAAAAATTAGCTGGGTGTGGCGGCAGGCACCTGTAATTCCAGCTACTCAGGAGGCTGAGGCAGGAGAATCGCTTGAACTCGGAAGGCTGAGAAAGGAGAGTCACTTGAGCCTGGGAGGCAGAGGTTGCAGTGAGCCAAGATGGTGCCACTGCACTCCAGCCTGGACGACAGAGTAAGACTCTCTCTCTCAAAAAAAAAAAAAAAAATGTATTACACTAAAAGATGTTGATTTGAACATTAATAATGATAAACATACTCTTTTGACCCATTTCATTTCCTCTTCAAATGTCTGAGTAAAAATAGCAGAAAATGTAACTAATTTCTGACCACTAGGTGGGGAAAAAATACAATTTAAAATACAATATAACTTTGGCCTCAACTACTTTATTTTCAAAGTTATTTAGGGTTTCTGATTCTTGCCTGTCTCAAGTCTTTTACACTCATAAGACATCCTGGCCTGAATGATATGATTTCAAGCTACTTCTGGGGACAGCTTTAGGAGTAGGCAGATCAGGCTGCAGATGAAAAGTCCACCCTGTCTTCTGAAATTCCTTCCTTGATCCCAATTAGAGATTCCAGTCTATACCTCGGGAGAACTGTAAAGCTTAGAGAAGCCATTCTTCCCCTCTGCTCTAATGCTGGGCTCCTGCAATTCTCCCCTCTCCCTTACCTAATCCTTTTTCCCTCTTGACTGGGTCTTTCCCATCAGCTTACAGACATGCTGTTATTTCCATCTTTAAAAAGCCTTTTGATCTCATTTCTCCCTTCAGGTACAGTCCCATTTCTTTGCTTTCCCTTTCTTTGTAAAGGAGTTGTTTTTTTGTTTTGTTTTGTTTTTTTTTTTTTTTTTTTTTTTTGAGACGGAGTTTCGCTCCTGTTACCCAGGCTGGAGTGCAATGGCGCGATCTCGGCTCACCGCAACCTCCGCCTCCCGGGTTCAGGCAATTCTCCTGCCTCAGCCTCCCGAGTCGCTGGGATTACGGGCACACATCACCATGCCCAGCTAATTTTTTGTATTTTTAGGAGAGACGGGGTTTCACCATGTTGACCAGGATGGTCTCGATCTCTTGACCTCGTGATCCACCCGCCTCGGCCTCCCACAGTGCTGGGATTACAGGCTTGAGCCACCGCGCCCGGCTGTAAAGGAGTTGTTTATATTTGCTCTGTGCATTTCCTCTCCTTTCATTCTCTTTTAAAGCCCTTTCAATCAGGCTTGCTTCCCCACCACTCCTGACAACTTCCCCTGCACTGACCTCCACAGTCCTCACTTTCTGGTCTCCACCAGCACCTGACACAGTTGCTCACTGACTTCTCCTTGGATGCTTCCTTTCCTGGGCTTCCAGGACTCCGGCTTTATTGGTTGCTCTTTTAATTCTCCTTTGCCCCTTCTCCTCTCCCAGGCCTCAGAGAGTTACAGTACCCCAGGGCTCAGTTCTTTTCTTCTCTGTTTACACTCCCTTCCTTGGTCATCTTAACCAGCCCCATGACTTTCAGTGTGAAATATGTTCCTATTTCTCTCAAGTCTATATTTGAAACCCAGAATTATCTCCCAGACTCTCCATTTCTTACTCAACTGGATGCTTAAAAGGTACCTCAAACTTAACATAGCCATGACCTCATCTTTGTTAAACAAAACTTGCTTACCTTTGTTAAACAAAATCTAGGAGGCCATTTTTTTGGACTAAATTCCTATACTGGGCCCCAGAAGACCAGACTGAAAATCAAAATGGAATCACCTATGCTCACCAAACTGAAACTGAGTTGTCTTCTGGCCTTTTGGGAAATCATGAGAGACAGAGAATGGCCTAGTTGCCCAAAAAGGCCAATTTTCATCTTTCATAACTAAGTTCTGTTTTTAATCTTTACAACAAAGAGTGACCTGAAGTCAGCCGATGTTAACTTCCATTATCTTTCTATTGTTCTGGCTCCCTGTAACTGCCTTATAAGGAAAGTAACTTTGAAATGACCAATCTGCCTTTTGTTTTTTGTTTCTGCTTCTTCAGTTCTTTTTGTTTATAAAGCCAGCCTCCTCTGCTTCACTCATTGGAAAACTCACTATATTTTATGAAACAAAGTGTTGCCCGATTCTAGATGTGCAAATAAAAACACTTGAGATCTTTAGATTTGTTGTAATTTTAACATCTTCAGCCTTTGACATCTTTAGCCTCCCCATGGTGGTGCTTGGGCTGATGGAAGCATGATCCTTACATTTGCTTGAGTGAAAAACACTGGAGCCACCCATTTTCCTTCGTACCCTAAATCCAAATTCCGTTGTCTTTTCCTTCAAAATACACCCAGTATATGCACACTTCTCACTACCCACACTGTTCCCATCCTGAGCAGTGCTACTCCATATCTTGCCTGCATTTCCATAACATCTGACTAACAGGTTTCCCTGCTTTGAGAATTGTCTACGTACTGCCTCTTCTCAGCATAACCATTAAGGTGATTTTTACAAAGTACAAGTCAGAAAATGTCACTGCTCTGCTCTGACTCTTTGAGTGAGTCCCATTTCACTTAGGATAAGTACTGCAATCCTATCACGGCTTACAAGCCCCTACATGAGATGACTCTCCCTACTGTTCCTTCCGTTGCTCTCTCTACCTGCTCTCTCTGCCTAGAACAGTCTTCTTTCATGTCTAACTCCCTTACTTCATTTGCATCTTTGCTCAAGTATCACTTTCTATTAGGTTGGTGTAAAAGTAATTGCATTTTTTGCCATTGAAAGTAATGGCAAAAACTGCAATTAAATATAAGGGAGCTACTCTCACCTCTCAAGTAACAACATGCTATCCCCAAACTCACCCTCATACTCCACCTCCGGTACTTAACTCAGCTCCATTTTCCCTCTAGGAAATATCTCGGGAAGCATCAAGTGCTAATACCATATACTTTACCTGTTTATTATTTATTTACTTATTTATTTATTTTTGAGACAGGGTCTTGTTCTGTCACCCAGGCTGGAGTGCAGCGGCACAATTACAGCTCAAAGCAGCATTGCCTTCCTGAGCTCAAGCAATTCTCCTGCCTCAGCCTCCTGCGTATCTGGGTCTACAGGCATGCACCATCATGCCCTGCTAATTTTTAAATGGGTAGTAGAGACAGGTTCTCACTATGTTGCCCAGGCTGCTCCCAAACTTCTGAGCTCAAGCGATCCTCCCTCCTTGGTCTTCCAAAGTGCTGGGATTACAGGCAGGAGCCACTGTGCCCAGCCCTGTTTATTATTTTTATGTATTTAGTCTCTTGGCCCCTGCTTTGCAGGGGTCTTTGTTTGTTTAGTAATATTTCCTGAACTTGTATTACAAAGGCACAACATAGTAGCTCAAAAAATATTTGTTGCATGACTGTAAAGGAAATCTATTAGCTCTTGACCTGAGAGTGGTATTTGATTAGAAACAGGAGGAACGCTTGCAGGTTGGCAAATACTCATGTATATGTTTTGAGGACTGGTGCTGTGAGCAGCACAGAAACACCTATATCTTTCACAATTCTTCTTACAGACTACTCCATACATTGTCCCTTCATGTGAAATGTGACCTTTTGAGCCTGAACATCAAGACCCATTTTGCTTTCATTTCCTCTATGCATTTCTAGCTTCCTCTACATGGGGAAAATTTTCTAACCCAGATATTGCTTCATTGTGGAATTTATGTGAGCTTTATGATGGGAGTGTGAAAGTCATTCACTACACACATTTTCCCTTTTGAAAAAAAAGTAGCTGGATATCATGGAGCATTAGAGGCTTTAAATTGACATCCATAAATTCAAATGCTTAGAAGGGTATGCTGTTAATATAAATGCACAAAGCAGGTCATATATAAGATAATAGCCATGAAGCTGCTCTAACACCCTCTACTTACTATCCTTAAACCCCCAAGAAAGCATATTAAAGTAAAAAAAAAATAGTAGTGGTTTTCCATGACAAATATGTTTTCCATCTTTTCCCAAAATTGTAGTCATCGCGCATTATAGGGAATCTGTCAATCCAATAGTGTTATTAACAGTTTCCATTACATGGATTATGGATATTAAGTACTTTTGTTGTAAGGAACATCAATCTGGTAGGGGAATTTAAGTGAAAAAAAACCAAATTGTACTAAATATATTGAGATATTATTTGTGATGAAAGAGAATCACGTAAAGCAATTTTCTACAAGAAGAAAGGAAATATCTAGTCCATTTTGTCTTAAGGATTTATGCTTGCCATTGTCTGGATATTCTTCTTAAAATGACATTTCATTTTATTCCAATCTGCCACGGGCTTTTTCCTTTACCAACTATTCTATTAAATCCTGGATAAGCAACCCATACAGTGCTGAGATTGCTGAAAAATACCATCTAAGAACATTTAAGCAAGAGCAGGCTTGACTAAAAGTTTCCTAAACACCCACCAGAAATTCTGAGGGATGAGAGAAAATCTGTATTTTTTTTTAATTAAAGGAAGCTATTTAGCATAGTAGTTTAAAGCACGTTTACTCTGGATTCAGACTAACATTCATTGAAATTTTTATTCTACACTATTTTGTGATCTTGGAGAAGTTACTTGGCTTCTTTGCAGAGCCAAAGTTCCATTTCCTCATCTGAAATAATGATGATACTACCTAATCGATGAGGTTATAGAGACGATATATGTAAAATGCCTAGCACATCACAGGCAGTCAGTAAACATACGGTGATGAGGTGGTGGTGATTGTGATAGCAGAGGAGTTGGTGGTTCTCAGGAAAGCTTTAGAACTTTTAAAAACAGTGGAAATTTTCTTCAAATAAACGCTTAAGGGGAAACCCAACATAAAACAGATAAATAAGATTCTAGGGGTATGAGCATTGCCAGCTTGGCCAGCTCTTCTCTCTGCCAGCTGCCCAGTTTCGTAGACCCGGAAGTTTCCCATGGAACCCTCAGCACTCAACCAAGCATGGTTTGAAAATCTATGGCAAGACACTGGGAAAGAAATGGCAAGATAATCTTTTGCTTACTTGAGGTCAAATGGAGGTTTAATGTTTCTGGGAGGTAGGCTTGGGGCTGGTGGTTGTGTTGGGTGAGATGCTGGCAATGGTGGTTGGCTGGCCGGATGGGCTGGTGGAGGTGGTGGCGGGGAAGTTGTTGAGTAAGGCATCTGGTTTTTGCTAGTACCTAAGAAGCAAAGCAAACAATACCATGAATTAAGAAAAATCTTCAAAAACAAGATTATTGATTGCAACCATAGTTGGCTACAAATTCAAGAGTTTGGCAAAAATTAACAATTGGCTGTATGGAATTTCCAATAAAGAGTATGTTAATTTTATTATTATTACCATATTGTATGCTATATATCTTTTCTGAGACAGGGTCTTGCTCTGCTACGCAGGCAGGAGTGCAGTGGGTCCATCATGGTTCACTGTAGCCTCAAGCTCCTGGGGTTTCAGGATCTTCCTGTTTCAGCTGCCCGAGTAGCTGGGACTACATGCATGCACCATAACACCCATATATATATTTTTTAAAATATTATACTTTCTGTAGAGATGAGGTCTTGCTATGTTGCCCAGGCTGGTTTTGAACTCCTGGGTGCAAGCAATCTTCCTGCTGTGACCTCCCCAAATGTTGGGATTACAGATATGAGCCACTATGCCCGGCCTTATTCATCTTTTATATCAATAAAATATATTACATGTATGTATACATGCATAACACACATATACACACACAGACACACAGAGCTTTTCCTGGTTGTTAAACACTTATCAGCATACCATTGCTGGTACCTAAAACCTTCCTAGGTTCTATCTGCTAAATCGTGACTAGAATCACTTGTCTCTGTATCTTCCCTCTTTCCTTTGATCCTCTTCCTCTCAGTCATTCCTCCATTCGATTTTTCATGTCATATCTTGGGTTTTGGAATTAGGCAGGTTGCCTTGTTTCCCCAAAAATGGAATTTAAATTTCTTTCTCATTTTGGGGTGATTTTCTGAGAGGAAAAGAGGGTAATGTCTTGACAAACATTTCTTTTTAATTTTACCTGCCTTTGAGCACGAATGAGGTAATGTTTTTCACGTTTATAACCATTTTCCTTTTAATAGTATTATCTATTCAAATACTTTGCCTATTTCAAAAATAGCATTTTCCTTTTCTTATTGGTTTCTAAAATCTTTTTATTAAGGATATTAATCTTTTTGTTTCTTAACTGGACCAACTGGACGTAAGTAGGCGGCTTTGAATCCTGCTTTTGCCTGTCCATACATTAAAAAATATACCATAACAAACAAACCTCTCTATAAAAACTTCAAAAAAAATACTGCACTTCACTATAAATTTCCTTACAAGGGTAATACCAAGGTTTTACATAGCATATGCCATGAACAAATTCCTAATTTCTTTTTAGATATTTCTCCCCGTTGCCAAAGCTCTTCACTTAAGTAATTGCTGACAGTATTGTCTCCTCTCTTCATTCTCTGACCTCACCGCAGTGTTCTTCTTCTTCCTGGAGTTTTAAAGACTGCTCAGGCTCTGCACTGCAGACTCAAGGCCCTCTTGGCCAGATACAGCTCCCATAAGAATAGTTCCTCTTTTGCAGCTATTTTTGGAGGTGGAGGTAGACAGAATTAGTTCCCCTATAAATTTCATGAATAAAAAATTCCAACTCAAGATATTTATGTTAGAAATGTTGAGTCCAGTTTGTTTTGTCCTAACTAAAATAAAATTTTTTTGATACATCAGACTTTTTCTCTAATCCAATTAGTCAATCCTTTCATGTATAATTTCTGTCACTATCTTATCTTTAGGAAGGCCTTCCTTAATTTGAGAACAGATAATCATAAACGGTATATTTTCTCCTACTTCGCTGTGGCTTCATTTTTTTTCCATTTAACTCTTTAAAACTATTAGTAATTTATTTTGGAGTTTGTTGTGAGATAGAGATCTAATTTTATCATTGTTGTTGTTCCTAAATCATTTAGCAAATGTTCTTCACCATTTGTCTGATAAGCTATTACTTACCAATTTGACATGCCTCTTTCATCATAGAATAAACATGAAAAATTCTAGTGAATGTGACAGATGAAAATGGTACCCAGTTATTTTAATTCATAAATAATATGGTTCAGTAGATTCATAAATGATTTAAAAACTCTACCCAAAGAGAATATACCTTTGTGAGTAGATATTAATAAACTGTCCAAATAGAAAAAATATTTATTAGCCATCTGTGACTTTTCCTTTCATGTAAAGGATTTTGACAAGCAGGAGGCATTACCCTCGGAGAATGATTTAAGGCCAACAAGTGAGAAGTTACTGAGATGGTTTGGGGAATGGTGAGTCTTTTGGATTCGAAGCACTGAAAACCGACTTCCCCCAAACCCAGGTCCCTTTCTGCCTTTACATAGGCTTATGAGACTTTCTGATGAGGCATCTGGAGGCCTTCTGTGGTTCTGCTTACTTGACGTCTATTCTCCTTTCCTCAATTATAATAACTTTAGCATCACAGGAAGGGGTGTGCTTGCTTTTCTACTGAGCTTGGAACTAGAAGGGGCTCCTCCTTGAGTTGCTGGCAGCGGTCTTGCCACTGCCAGGGCAGGGCTCGCCTGAGAGTACAGCAAAACCAGAGGAAAGCAGAGTGAGAGACGGAAAGGGGCTGGTTAGATTTTAAAGAAAAATTACTTTTGGAAGACAGTCAGAGATAACCTGAAAGACTTAATGAGCCACTAAACTAAATGTCTGAGTATGCTCTTCCTCATCAAGCTTGGGAGAATATACGCTGAAGTCTTCCTATGTTACAGTAGTATGTGGCAGTAAAACACTTTGCCTTGCAAAACATATGGTCACTTTCAAATACTGCAAGGAATACATTTGCATGTATACAAAATAATTCTAAGGAAAAACATCTTAGTTTTTCTGAGGAAAAAACCAGTTAGACTTACTTTAATGTCTAACCATTAACATTAGAGTCTAATGATTGACTCTAAAATCTCAATCTGGACTTTATAAAGTTTACTAAAATATAATTAGTAATATTAAAATCCTCAAAAGTAAAAATATGTTTTTTATTCTGATAGAAAGAAAGGGAATGAATATAGTAAAATGAGTAAAGAAATAGAAACAATAAATCTATAAAAATATCTGGGAGTGGCTGGGCGCGGTGGCTCAAGCCTGTAATCCCAGCACTTTGGGAGGCCGAGGCGGGTGGATCACGAGGTCAAGAGATCGAGACCATCCTGGTCAACATGGTGAAACCCCGTCTCTACTAAAACTACAAAAAATTAGCTGGGCATGGTGGCGCGTGCCTGTAATCCCAGCTACTCAGGAGGCTGAGGCAGGAGAATTGCCTGAACCCAGGAGGCGGAGGTCGGTGAGCCGAGATCGCGCCGTTGCACTCCAGCCTGGGTAACAAGAGCGAAACTACGTCTCAAAAAAAAAAAAAAAAAAAAAGAAAATATCTGGGAGTAATGATATTAAATAATATTAAGTAATCACACAATTTTTGCCAGGCACCATACTAGGCATTCTACATATGTAATCGTATTTATTCTGTATACAGCCTTGTGGGGGTATATGTTATTATCTACTTTCCATTTGGTAGTTAATAAAACTACCCAAGTTCAGAGAATTAGTAAGCAGTAACGGTGGGGTTCAAACTTAGCCAGAATTTGAATTCTAGTCAATTTTTTATGATGTCTCTGCACTTTCTGCTATGCTCTACTGCTTCTCAAGGTAATTAAATGAAAATTATTAGTAAGTTAAAATAGACACATCAGCAAACTGTCCTACAATCTGGGTGTAAGTTCAGCTTTTTTGATTTGTATTTTTCCTCTTAGTGTGATTTTATGAGTGTTTCCAGTTTACTGCAGGAAAGACCTGGCTCTAGAGACTGTAAGGCTCACATATTGGGATGTTCTGGATGCTAATTCAGATGCCTTAGAATTTGATTTTGGAAACCAGAAAGCAGTGATGGGAACATTCAAGCTAGTGGGAAAGAGGCTCTTCAAGATGAATGACTGATGCTAGCTGGCTGGAAAATAACTCTCAAGAACTGAAATCAGGGAATTTTAAAAAAGCATAAAAGGATTTAGAAGATATGAAATAAGGGGAAAGAACAAGTTTAGACTTCAGTTGGCATTAAGAATAAGAAATGTGCAATTTGAGAGCTAACACCTAAAACTCTGATCTACTTATGGCTCTCATCTCCCAAAGCTCAAGGGGATTGACAAGATAATCTGTGATTTGAAGTACTGGAACTGAAAGGACCATCTTGCTAATAAGTCTAGTGGGAGCTTGAGTGACTAACGACAAAATTAAGGAAAATTGACTGTATTTGTATTAGGGAACAGTTTATACCAGTTACAGAAAAATGGGGAGAATTGTGAATAACAAGGAGAGAAATTGCAATATTTTCTAGAACACAGAAACAATTCTCAAAACCTGGGAAGTTAATAACCTCTGACTCAAACTTTTCATCTTTTTTAATTTTGGAAGTTTAGAAGAGATCTTGTACAAGTCACGTGCCCGTGCTCAGGCAGGCCGGAATGGGCCGAGCACCGGGGCCATTTTACCATGAGGAAATGACCAGGAGGGACCCTCCATGAGCCAGAGGGTGCCCAGGAGTTATCTGGCCCTGCCTTGAAGAACAGCTCCAGGTTCATGGAAATGCAGTCTAATCAAAATGGTGAGATTTTGTCAGTATTTAAAATGCTATAAACAAAAAAGTGCATTTGAGGGCAATGGAAGAAGAAGCGGGGAGAGAAGAGGTGGAAACGAATAGAGAGGACCCAATGAGGGTGGTGGTATACTCATGGGAAATGGAAATTGCATTAATTCACAAACTTTGCATTTTAGTTATTTCTGCTAGTCAAAAATAGTGGTTCTAGGTATTTTTATAACAATCTGGTAACATAAAGATCTATGAAGACTCAGTATATCTACCCTATAGATTCTGATGTTTGTGACTTTTGACTAAGAAGGTCGCTAAAGACTTCACGTCCAGAGGGGTGTAAGGAACATGTGGAGATCTGGTTCTCAATTTCCTTTTAAATCCATGGATTCTTTTGAAAATCCAAAGACATTACACCATATTGCTGCTTCTAAATGCCACAAAACCCTGACCTAGTCTTGGCATTTCTATTCTGGCTTTCTTGGGATATCTTAGAATTGGACCAGGCACTAGAA